TACTTAAACCCTAAAACCTAAAACCTAAAACCTAAAACCTAAACCCTAAACCCTAAACCCTTGCCATCCATTGGGCAGGTCCCAAACACCCCCCAGACGACGCCCAACGCGTGTAAGGACCAGGTGGAATGGCTGCAGCCGCCAGAACTTGCTGCCCAGTCATACAAGGGTTCAAATCTAAACCCTAAACCCTAGAGCTGGCAGGTGCCAAAGTTGCAACCTGGCAGGCGCTCAGGGTTCAGGGTTTAGGGGACGAGGGGGAATGTCTACAACCGCCAATGACCGCTGTCCAGTCGTACAAGGGTTGATACCTCAACCCTAAACCCTAAAAACCCAATGTGTCCCCACTTGGGCACCAGCCAGCCACGTCAGCACAGGTGACCGTTCAGCTCCCAACTGTCAACGGTTTGATGGCTCCCTTGATGGTGGTGCCAGCAACGCGTGGCTGGTGGAAGAATGTTGAGTGCGAGCAGTGGTGATGGCAGACCTTGTTGAGCTGGCAGGTGCCAAAGTTGCAACCTGGCAGGCGCTCAGGGTTTACGGTTTAGGGTACGAGGGGGAATGTCTACAACCGCCAATGACCGCTGTCCAGTCGTACAAAGGTTGGTATTTCAAACCTACTTCAAAGCGCAGGACGGGCCACATGCACAGAGGGTGGCCACTAGTGGTGCACAGCCAGCACGCAGGCAGCTGCTAGGGAAAAACACAAAGGCCAGTTACATACACGGGGACCCGTGTTACATAGCTGGAGCAACTAGCACACAGAAGGTCGAAACCACCGACCAAAAAAGAAAGTATACAAATTGCCAAGCGCATGCTTTGAATGCACGGAAACATGGTCTGGGAGACAAGGTGGTAAGGCATCAAATGGCAGTGAAAAGCAATGAGTCACTGCACAAAGCACGTGAGCGGGGCCAAACGGACATCGACCTCACCACCTTCAAGGTGCGCACATCAGCCACCCCGACCAAACTAGCTGCCTGCATGTGCACCTGCTGCTGCGACACTGGGTGAAGACGGTGCCCCGCCATGCTGCTGCTGGGCCTGCTGCTGCGCCTGCTGGGAGTGCTGGGGCTGCTGACCAGAGCCTGCCGACCCTGCAGTGCCCGCCGAATACTGCGGCGGCTGGGGCGGCAGACCCACTGATGAAGGCTGTGAACCTGGCGAGACTGCCGCTGCGGCCTGGCCGCCCACTGATCCGACCGGCGGCGGCACATGGTCGACGATGAAGACACTGGCGACGCTGTCCTTGCCACCAGCCCCCAGGTAGAGGTTGTAGGGGTGCCAGGCCATGGCGGTGACGGGAGCCATGCGCTGCGGGGCGGCGCTCTTGATGGCGCCCACCAGGTCACCCGTGTCCGTCCAGACCTTGACCACGCTCGCACTGGCCGCCGTCGCCGTCGCCAGCAACGGCGCGTTGGGGTGCGCGGCCAGCACGCTCATGCCGCCCGTGCTGTGGGCCTGCACGCTGCGCACCACGCACGAGCTGCCGCCGTCGCCGCCGCCCTCGCCGGCAGCCAGCCGCAGATCAAGGAAGCGCAGCTCACCCGTGGCACTGCCTGTCAGCGCAGCACCCGAGCGGCCACACGGCTCCAGCACCATGCCCGCCAGCGGGGCCCGGCCTGCGTGCACAGACAGCGCCGGCGTCGCCCCAGCGCGCACGTCGAACAGCCGCAGCATCTGGTCGCTGCAGCCGGCCAGCAGCAGGTGCGGGTCGTTCTGTGACACGCTGAGGTGCTCGATGGCGACGGGGCAGCTGCTGCCGCTGCTGCTGCTGCGCACGGCAATCTACGGGAACAGGGCGGCGCAAAGAAAGGTGCGGTCAAGGAATGACAGAAGACAGGCTGTCAACACCAGCGTAGCCCGGCCAGGTCATGGCGCAAGTGCATTTCGACCTCCCTCGACTGCGCGGGCCCCTGCAGCCGCATGCCCCAGCCTCCGCAGTCACCTGCTGGGCGCACATCTCGCTATGGAGGTCCCACCGCTGCAGCACGTCGGGGTGGGAGCCGCCCGCGGCGTAAAGCCAGTACTGCCGCGTCGCGTCGGCAAGAGCGAACGACGCATTCCAGGGCACCGGTGCGGCTGGCTGCCGCATGGGCACGGCCTGCCACGCGGCTGCCAGGCGCTGGTTGCCGTTGTGCAGGTACGAGCGCCACACTCGCACGGCGCCGTCCGCAGCGCATGTCAGCAGCAGGTTTGACTCCGCTTCGTTGAGCTGCCGCAGGTAGACCAGCGACGACGGCGTCACGGCCGGGTCGCCCGGGGCCGAGCCTGGTTTATGTGTGTTTCAAGACAGCAAGGTTGAGAAGCTGAATGGGTGACGCCAGCAAGCAAGCGGTTGTGCACTGTGTTGATTTTGGGCAGGAAGCGGACTCGGGTTGGCTTTGGTGGCGCACAGGTCACCGCCGGCCTATCCGGCGACCGGCACACCACAAGCCAGCCATCGAGTGCGGCGCATGCCATTGGCACCCGCGCACCGTTTGTCACGTGGAATGTGTTGAGCATGGACCCGTCCGCCGCGTTCTGCACGCGCACGTAGCCGCGCTGGTCGGCCGTGACCAGCAGGAGGTGGAACGAGTGGAACACCAGCGACGTCAGCGACTCCGCACCCGTCTCGATGGAGCTCACCTTGTGTGAGGCAGTGAGCAGATGGAGGGGGGTAGGGTGGAGGGTGGAGGGGGACTTGAGGGCTCAGCGCCAGCGAAGCAGACGGGCTTGTGTGTGAGAGGCATTCATGGGCCTATAACAGCATCAAACAAACGCACGAAGATCACCACACCCGCTGCTTGCGCATGCAGAGCTCGCAGCCCCACCTGCTCGCGCAGCCGCGGGTTGGTAGCGCCCCTGCAGCGTGTGCGCGCTGCCTCCATCTCCCGCAGCCGCTGCGCCTTGCGCGTGCCGTCCTGCAGCGCCATCCAGGGCGCCACCTTGTGCGCCTCCAGCTCGCGCCACGCGCTGGCCTGGGGCTCCAGCATCGGACGGCTGAAGTACTCGCAGGATGCAGCGTACACCGTGCTCGAAGGCTGGGAGCCGCGCACACCGCCAGAAGCTCCTGCGCCGCCGCCATGGGGGCTGAGGCCGCCGCCGTCGTCGCCACCGCCGACGCCGCTGGGCGCCCCGCTCGACAAGCGCGACAGGCCGCCTTCAGGGCCGTCTAAATGCTGCTGCTCCGGCGCTGTGCTGCGCAGGATGTACTGCCGCCGCGCAAAGCCGGTGGCCTGCGCCGCCGCCGCTGCCGCCGCCGACGCTGTGTCCCTGCTGGTTGGGCTGCCCGGTGGCGAGCCCCCAGCGCTGCCGGGAATGCTGGCTGAGCTGCCCAGCGCCGCGGCCGGGGCGGGGGGCCCTGGCAGGCGCGCAGCAGAGCCGCCCACTCCTGCCCCTCCGCCGCCGCCCGCTGTGGCACCGCTCGCGAAGCCGCTGCGCCAGCTGCGGCCCCCCTTGACGAGTTTGCTGGTGAGGCTGCCCAGGGACGCCCCAACACCAGCGCTGCCGGTGGACCCGACGCTGGCACCCGGCATGCTGCCCGCGCCGCCGTAGCCCGCTGCACCAGCTGACCCGATGCCAAGGGAGCCGCCCACGCTGCTGCTGGGTGACAGCCCTGGCCCCGGGCCGCTGGTTGAGCGCTGCACCTGGGGCGCCGGCACCGACCCCACCACCAGAGGCGCCAGCTCCATCTGCGCCAGCCCCAGGACGCGCCGGCCCAGGCGCGCGACACGCGGCGACGGGTCCGTGGCTAGCGCCAGCACTGTCTCCAGCAGCAGGCTGTACACCGTCGTCTGGGACCCAGGGCCACCACCCACGCCTGCCGCGGCCGCTGCCGCCGCTACTGAAGAACCATCGGGCACGTAGAGGCCGCCGCCTGCCGCGCCACCAGCCCAGCCTGTGATGGTGCTGTGGAACCCGCCGGTACCTGCGCTGCCCAGCTGCTGCCCTTGCTGCTGCTGGCCGTGCCCCTGCTGCTGAAGATGATGCCGCGAGCTGCTGGCGCCCTGAGGACCGCCACCGCTGCCGCCGCTTCCCCCGCTCCCGCCGCCTCCAATGCTGCCGCTGCTGCCGCCGCTGTTTGCCGCCATGGCACTGTCGCTGGCCTGTGCGCCGTCAGGCATGTGCTGGGGCACGGCTGCCTGGCGCTGGTAGGCGCGCAGCAGCTCCGTCACCTTCCGCTGCTGATAGCTCACGCTTTCCTGCAACGTTGAAGGGACCAAAGTGCAAGGGACCATGTGAGCAGAGTTTGACACAGTCAGGTGAGTGGGCTTCATTGCAGAGCTGCTGAGGGTACAGGTCCAAGCTTCTTGACGGTTGCTCTCCACCCTGCCGCTGAAGGACCGCTTGCAACCCACGGCCCGGACAGCCCCGCCCCCGCCCCCTCACCCTGAGCTGCTGGATGGCGTCCTCCAGCAGGGGCATGTGGCCGCGCACCAGCCGCGCCAGGGCAACCGCCAGCTCGCTGCGCACGAGCGCGCTTGCATCGTACACCACCTGAGAGTGAGGCGGGGCAGGGCCAGTGAGCGAGGCAGGTGGATTGGATGTGACGATTTGTGCTCAAAGAGGCGGTGGGGATGCAAGCAGGCGCACTCTGCATGCTGGAAGGCGGCGTGGAAAGGAGAGCATGAAGGCACGTGTGCCTGTGCAGCCCTTAATCCGCCTTGCTCACGTTGGCGCGCAGCAGGAGGGCCGCGATGCTCTGCTCCGCATTGATAGACGCCTCCAGCAGAGCAGCAGCCGCCGCCGTACTCGCCCCGCCCGCAGGGTCGCCCCCCGTGCCCGCCAGGCTCGCCGCGCTGCCGGCCCCTGCTCCCGCTGCCCCCAGGGCGGCGCTGCTGCCGAGGCCTTGCGTGGCCAGGGACGCGGAGGACGACGAGGCCATGCTGACCCCCAGCTGGGAGAACCGCGAGTCGGCCGCCGCCGCGCCGCCGGGACCCACGCGTGGCTGGGAGTGGATGAGGCAGCCGAGAGCAAATACCGCTGCCGCACGCAGCTCTGGGTCCAGGGCCCCCAGCAGGCTGGACAGCAGCTCCGGGGCGCCGTCGCGCATGGCGGCCTGGGTGCAGGCAGCGAGCGTTGGCGTGATCAGCTCCATGCACCGCTGCGGACAGTTCACGTCGGTCTTTCTGCCATCACCACCAACGCTGTGCGAGAGGTCGCAAGCAAACACAAAGGCTGCAAACACACTAACCGCCTGTCAGTGTGCCGCCACCCACGGCAAAAGCGGCCCCCTCACCGCCGCGGCCTCTGGCGCGTCTTCTACCAGGCGCCCCAGGGCCAGGCAGCACCACTTGACCAGCAGCGCTGCGCCGCGCGACACGCCCGGGCCCACGCCCGCCATGCCGCCGCTTGCAGCTGCAGCAGCCTGCTGCGCCTCCAGCGCTGCCAGGCCTGGCAGCAGCAGCTGCAGCCAGCGCAGCAGGGAGCCCAGCAGGTTGGCCTGGTAGCACAGCGCCTGGCCGCGCGGGTGGCCGTCGCACACGGTCGCCAGCACAAAAACCGCCTGCAATGGTGGTGACCGGGCGGCTGCGGCGTCAGAGTCGTGTCGCCAAGGGCCAATCGGCCTCGAGTATGCCGGCACAGCGCAGCCGCGTCATGCGTGGCCATCCCACAGACCCCCTCCCCCCAGCTACCCTGACCTGCGCCCTGCTGTGATGGTCGATCCCGGGCTCTGGTGCATCGAGGTACTTGAGGAAGTACAGGTGGCCACCGTCCTTCACCAGGTCAGCCTTTCAGGGGGGGAGGGAGGGGGGGGACGCAGTGGAGGGGGGCCATGCCTTGCACGACCCCAGGTGTGCCCAGCTAGGGACGGGCGGAGGCCAAAAGCCATGGTTGTTGAGTTAAGAGTGCTCCTGACTCTGGCCGCGCATCTCCCACCCCCATACACGCACATGAACATGCACACGCATTCACACACCCACGCACTTACACACCTGGCAGCTCGTGTCCAGGGCGAGGATTTTGGCCCAGATGAAGACCAGCGTTGTGCGCAGGTCCGACGATGTTGTCTGGGGTGGAAGGAGCCGTGCGGAAGTGGGCGGGACAGCGAACAGGGCAACATCTACAAAGTCAGCTTCAGAACCAACGCAGATAATGTGCAATGACCTCGCTTCTATACATTGTGGAGCGAGCTGTACACCAGGGGCCCTGACACGGCGGCGCAGCGGCCGCCCCGCGCACGCGCCAGGGCGCGCTCACCTGCAGCAGCTTGAGGACGTAGGGGAAGATGCCCACGCTGAGGGCGAGGTCCACGGCCCAGAGGCCCATGTCCAGGAAGCGGCCCAGCAGCACCAGCGCGCGCAGCCGGTGCACCTGGCTCAGCAGCACCTGCAGCACGATCGGCAGCTGCTCGGGCGGCTTCTTGTCGGCGCTGCCGTGAGCCAGCCACAGCTCAAAAGCGGTGAGCTGCTCGCTGAAGAAGGTTGAGGGCGTGAACTCCGCAGCGGGGTCCGCCAGGAGGGCGGGCAGCTGGCAAGGCGGCAGCAGAGGAAGGAGGAAAAAGCAAGAGCAGCATGGAGGTCTTGGTATCAGAACAACTGCAAGAGGAGTGTGGGCAAGTCACCACATACACGACGGCGCAGTGCTGCAAGACAGATGGATTCCTGCGCCTGCAGCAAGCCGTGCGTGCGCGTGCCGCCCGGTCCCACTCCAGGGCCCCACCTGCAGCAGGCACATCTCAGCAGCCATGTCCCAGGCCTGCCACATGGGGTGCTGGTGCGTGGGCGGCAGCCGCGGCCACGACACAGGGGTCGCGTTGGCTGCCGCCAGGATGCGCTCCGCCAGCAGGAAATTGCGGAACAGCGACGCCACCAGCAGGTC